TAAGAAAAGATACATACTCCACGTTTCTTCTTCTCCTTATGTGATGATGGTGAGTGGTTACGTGCATTTGTTTCCAATTACCTTAATTTGAAGGAGTTTTCATTAGATAACTTATAACAGTCAGCTACCACTGTTTTTTGTTGTGGGTTCCTTAAGCATTTAGCCTCCATAACAAAAACGTTTCCGCAAATGATAAAGAAATGGAGCACTGAGAGTTATCAATGAGAAAAACAAAAGGAGAAAAGATTATTAGTTGGATCATTAGGGAGAATTTGGATGGATTTTAGTCATTAATTTAGTTAGAAAAAAATGATCTGTTTTTTTTTTTTTTAATTGTTTATAATAATAATTGAAGGGATGTGAGATTTTTTGGTCATTAAGGGAAGAGAGTAGTAGTAAGGAAAAACAGAGGAAAGTGTGTGCTTGATTGAAGTAGGTGGCGGAAGTGTGTTGGACATGAAAAGGACGGTGCTCGGATTAAACTCCCAACACAAAGAACCAATTCTCGATAACCATTTCCGGGCTTTTCGTTGTTGTTTCACGTTTCTTCTTATCACACAGAAAAAGGACAAAATCTCAATTCGCTTTTCAGGGAAAAGGCATTGAATCTACCAAAAACAGAAGCTTTATCGATGGATTTCTGGCCTGAGTTTATGGCGAGCAGCTGGGGAAGGGAGTTCGTGGCCGGTGGATTCGGAGGCGTCGCTGGGATTATCTCTGGTTATCCTTTGGACACGCTCAGGATTCGGCTGCAACAGAGTTCGAAATCGGGATCTGCCTTCACCATTCTCCGCCGTATGCTCGCCGTCGAAGGCCCCACGTCGCTCTACAGAGGCATGGCTGCACCCTTAGCCTCCGTCACTTTTCAGGTTCACTTCTTTTCATTATGGATACGGTTATCAATATCCATCCTCTCATTAATCAGTCAGTATATTCTCTCATTGATTCCCCTTTTCTCTTTTGCAAAAATTACACATTTTGGTTTGGTGGGCTCATCTTATATTCTTGTGTGTGTTTGCAGAATGCTATGGTGTTCCAGATATATGCCATTCTCTCTCGCTCCTTTGATTCCTCTGTTCCTCTCCAAGACCCTCCTTCCTACAGAGGCGTTGCTCTCGGTGGGGTTGGCACTGGGGCTTTGCAGAGCCTCATGCTTAGCCCCGTTGAGCTCATCAAGATTCGTCTTCAGTTGCAGCAGAGCAAGAGTGGTCCCATTTGCTTGGCTAAGACCATCCTCAGGACACAAGGCCTCAGGGGGATTTACAAAGGCCTCACCATAACTGTGCTGAGAGATGCTCCAGCTCACGGCCTCTACTTTTGGACATACGAGTACGTTAGAGAAATGCTCCATCCCGGGTGCAGAAAGAGCGGAGAAGAAAGGCTCAGGACCATGTTGGTGGCAGGTGGGCTTGCTGGTGTGGCCAGCTGGGTCGCTTGTTATCCTCTTGATGTCGTCAAGACCAGACTGCAACAAGATCATGGGGCTTACGAGGGCATTGCTGATTGTTTTCGCAAAAGCGTCACACAGGAGGGATATGGGGTTCTTTGGCGTGGCCTCGGGACTGCAGTTGCCAGGGCCTTTGTGGTCAATGGCGCTATTTTCGCTGCTTATGAGGTTGCTTTGAGGTGTTTATTCACTCAATTGCCATCCACTGATGTTGTCACAGGAGAGTGAGTCTCAAGATCCATAATTTGCAGCCTGAAGATCCATAAGAGTGATTGTAGTTAGTAATATATATACACATAGTTGTGCTGGATTTGGAATGCATAGTGGAAAAAATCTGACTTGCTTTATGGATCAGGTAGCAACCCAAAGAAAACAGATGAAATGAAATTCTTTCGGTATATGCTTTCCTCTTTCCACTTGTTTGCTAATAATGATAACCCAAAATAAGAGTGCCAAGGATTTGCTACGATATGTTCTTTATACATGCCTCACTCTCTAGACACTGTCGCCAATGCTAAATGGTTTCGGATGAATTTTCAACATTTTTACGTTTAAAGAATTGGTGCAACAGTCTGTGAACGTCTCCGTAGCCTTTGGTGGAATAAATAAGATGATCTTTGATCCACTTTGGGAGCTTGTTGGATGGATGAGATGTTCTTTTGGATGGATCACCGGAATATCGAGCATCTACCAGTAAAATGGCTGCGTAGTCTTTTGCGTGCCTGATCGCCCTACCTGGAAATGCAACAACATTTTGTCTCAGTCCCATCATCAATAATAAAAACACAACATCTATTTGGAACCACAAACTCACCGACTGATTGGTTTACTGCTTTCATACAAAGATTTTCGTAGTATTCTTTCCCTCTCCGTTTGCAGCCATTTAATACGCCAAACCCTGCTTTAACGTCTCCACTGTAGTAAGAATCGTCAACCAAAGTCAGAGAAGGTTTTGCGGAATCTGAATCTCCCAGACCTTCTATATGCTTTATTCTCTCTAACAACTCAATGTCAGACGGGTTGGGATACGGTAGGCCAACCATCACAACACACCGACACATGCTATCGCTGAAGTTGATTCCTTCTGACACCTTCCCACCAACCACAGCTAGCATTATTGCCCCTCTTTCGCTTTCTATTGCTTCCTTGTAATCTCTGAGAACAGCTTCTACTTCAGTGTTTCTTCTGGGTTCTCTAAACACACGCTTCTTCTTCATTATTCTTCCGAGTATCCCTGATTTACTCCACGCTGTGTGCACCTGAGTTTCATACTCAAAGGAAGAGAAGAAGACGATAACTCCTTCAGGAACCACTGCCACCAGGTTACTTATTAAGAGTCCTAACTCCTGTATCTGCCAACCGTTCATGGGAAGTCAAACACACAAGTTACTCTCAATACTCTTTTTTTTAATCTCATTAAGGTAAAAGGCACATAACAAGTGAGAAAACAAGGGCCATTTGAATCACCCACCATTCCTGTTGAGCTTCTTGAACCGTGGATAAAGTCAAAAGACTGTCCAGACGGACCATGTGAAACTGCAATTGGCATTATGCTCTCAGGGGGAACAATGTGACTACATGAGAAGAATTGCAGCTGATTTGATGGTAGCCATGGAAAGAGTCGTTCCCTCGTCTCTTCAATAGGTTGAAGAGTCCCACCGGCCAATATGACAGCATGAGCTTCATCCACAACCTGAAAATTAATTTGATTAACTTCTACATTGTTGAATTGCTGAAACTACTATGGACTCAGAAATAAATAAATTATTGATGCAAGGGCTAACCTCCGAAAATAACTTCGCTCCCGTGAGCATGACATATTTAATGTACCCTCCTTGTTGGTCAGAGGTAGGGGAACTCGTCCTTGAGATTATTATCCGCCCATCACCATTGTTATTAGTGAGCGCCACCAACATATCAGAAAAAGCTCTAAAACTTGTTAACTTGCTCATTTCCTCATGAGCCACTGGATCTTTCTGCAACATAGCAACTCCCTCTCCATATCCACTGACCTGGACACACAGTTGAATAGTAAAGTT